TAAATAGTTACTAAAATGTATTTTTGAGTGTGAAATATCCCTTTAATTAGCGTATTTTTATCTGATTGCTTTCCACTTGTAATGGTCTTGTGGAAGAATTCCCTATCGCACCATGACACAAAAGCCAAAACGTGCAACAGACCTATATTTGTCAGCACTCAGAACATTATCATTGCTCTTCTCTATCTACACAGATAGCACATAATGAACTCGCCAGGGCCAGATCTGCTTTGTTTTAGCCGCCTCATTCTTTTCCCAATGGACTTTGCTTGCTTTGTCGGTGACGAAGAAGCGCGAGTTGCAACAGGTTTAAAGTTTTACCTCTTCCCTTTTTCAACAGGAACAAGCTGGTTAAAAGTGGACCATCTAGAGATTACGGTGACAATGCAGTTATGAAAGTAGTTGTATATTTAAAATGAATTTAATTTGTACTAAACTACAACGTAATATTCACATTCCATTAAATACATCTACACTATACACAAAAAAGAGAGACAAGGAAATATACCAACACAACCTAGTGCCAATTGGTAACTCATACATTTTGATCATCCCCTGATGACATTTTGGGTTTAGGTGAGGGCTTTGGGTAGGACATATCTTTTTGAAAATCATGTTTTCAAATGTAAGTCGTATGGATTTGTCAGAATTAGCCAATAGAAACCAATGTTGCTGTCTTTTCAGTAGTATTAAAAGAGATAGTTCACGCAAAACCGCAAATTCTGTCATCATTTACAAACTATTCACTTGTTCATCCTCATGTTTGACTTTATTTCTTCTGTAGAACACAAAACAAGATCGTTTGGACACATCTGAAAACCTGTAACCATTTACTTTCATTTTATTTGTTTTTCCTACAATGGAAGTCAATGGTTACCGGTTTTCAGCTTTCTTCAAAATATCTTATTGTGTGGTAATAGTGGTTATAAGAAACTCATTAAGGTTTATAAACACTTGAGGGTGAGTGAATAGTCTGTACTACAGAGTCATCAATGTGACTCAAAGTGACTCTAAAATATATACCAACACAATCTAGTGGCAATTCCTAACTCAAACAATTTGATCACTCCCTATTGACATCTGGGTTTAGGTGTGGGCTTTGGGGAGGACATCCCCTTTTAAAAATCATACGTTTTCGAATTAATGAAGCCATATGGATTTGTTGTTGTCTTTTTAATCATATTAAAAGAGATAGTTCACCCAAAACCGCAAATTCTGCCATCATTTACTAACTTTTTACTTGTTCATCCTCATGTTTGACTTTATTTCTTCTGTAGAACACAAAACAAGATCGATTGGACAACTCTGAAAACCTGTAACCGTTGACTTTTATTTTATTTGTGTTTCCTACTATGGAAGTCAATGGTTACCGGTTTTCAGCTTTCTTCAAAATATCTGGTTATAAGAAACTCATTAGGGTTTATAACCACTTGAGGATGAGTGAATTGTCTGCACTGCAGAGTCATCAAAGTGACCAACAAAATCTAGTGGCAATTTGTATCGTATAATTTGATCATCCCCTAATGACATTCGGGTTCAGGTGTGGGCTTTGGGTAGGACAGCTCCTTTTGAAAATCAAAATCAAACTTTTCGAATGAATGAAGTCGCATGGATTTGTACGAATTAGCCAATAGGAACCAATGTTGTTGTCTTTTCAATTGTAACCTGTAACCATTGACTTCCATTGTGTTTGTGTTTCCTACCGTGAAATGATGTAATGGTTACCGGTTTTCAGCTTTCTACAGAATATCTGGTTATAGTGGTTATAAGAAACTCATTAAGGTGTGTAACCACTTGAGGGTGAGTGAATAGTCTGTGCTGCAGAGTCAAAAATGTAACAACACAATCTAGTGGCAATTTGATCATCCCCTAATGGCAGTTGGGTTTAGGTGTGGGCTTTGGGTAGGACAGCTCCTTTTGAAAATCATACGTTTTCGAATAAATGTATATATATATATAAATATATATATACATCTCCTCATGAGATCAGCATACAAATGCATACCCTGGAACAGCACTGGTGACTTTTTGCAATATTTAATTAGTAATTAATATTTAATTATAATTCGAAAAATAATAATATATTTTTGTTAAAGCTGTCAATAAGCATTGTTTCTTTTAAAAAGACCATGTCTAACATAAAAGTATAGATCATTTTGAGCAATGTAAAAATAACGTATTTCTGGTAATACATTTTTAATTTCCATAGCTTCCGAGAATAAACAAAACACAAATATTGATAAATAATGTTATAATAGCTGATTTATTATGAAGATATGATTTATTACTACAGTTATTACAGTTATGAAATATTATGATAACATACAGGAAATGTTCAGGGGACAATGACATGACCACAATGAAATGATCTACATAACTCATTCTGCAGATTCTCCACCAATCAGTGAAAGGCAAATCAAAGGCTCCGCCCACTGCCATGAAGCACAGTTTCTGTCTCAGTTTTGCTTAGATCGCAAATATTTGTATTCGTACACACATTATATGCAGTAATTGTAGAATATAGCAGTAATACAAATATGCAGTGTACAACGCACCTCAAAATATATAATATGCTCCATCAGAGGCCAAAAAAAAAAGTGCCAAGTGCAAGAAAAGAGTGACGTTTTCAAGGAGAAAGCTCTTCCTCAGTGCAACAACACTCTAAATACGCAATTGTAATTGTAAAATATGTAATTCCTTTCTGTAATCAACAAATCTCAGTGTAATCAGCTCAACAGTGTTCTACTCTTCCATTGTCATTCATTTGGTTATTTAATCCGCAGTGCATCCTCGGATTGCTTTTCAGTCTCCGGTCAGAGTCTGTAATATTGCGATTCACCACATAGCCGGCTGGCTCGCTTCACTGCTTATAACTCTTAAAACAAAGACTTTTTTTAAAAATCCCCATGAGGAAAATACTTCCAGAACCAAGGCTGCTAAAACAGTGGGCGAACACCGCAGCACTCTATTATAACTGACCATTACTCTGGAACAGCGGGAGAAATGCGCACACAAACACCCATAAACTTCAGCGCTCCGGGCACAAGATTGCTGGTACAAACGCTGACCTAAAGTATACCGAGCAAAGGTTGCGTTCTTATCATAATACTATCAGACGCCATGAGTGAATGCTCATTCCCATTCTGTTATTAACTAATAAACCAGCTTGTGAACAATTCCACAATCACAGACACAAGCGCTCTTAATTAGGGCTGCACAATATATCGTTTAGCATCGATATCACTATGTGATCATCATTCGCAATGCTTTAAAAGCATATATATATATATATATATATATATATATATATATATATATATATATTTTTTTTTTTTTTTACATTTTAATTAAATATGATTATTCGTTTATTGCAATCAGAAAACAATAACATAGTGTTTATTTCAGCTGTATCTTTCTCTTTATTGTATTTATATCTGCTTGTAGATCTTTATTACGTTTTAGGCAGATTCACTGGCCCACTGCATCATCCCAATCCATCTAATATTATAAATTCTTTCCAAATAGAGATATTTAGGTCATCTGCTGAAATGATATTAATCTCGGAGCATACAGTGCTCAACATACAGTTGAATTATTAGCTCGCTGTTTATTTTTTTTCCTTAATTTCTGTTTAACGAAGAGATTTTTTCAACACATTTCTAAACATAATAGTTTTAATAACTCATTTCTAATAACTGATTTATTTTCTCTTTGCCATGATGACAGTAAATAATATTTGACTAGATATTTTTCAAGACACTTCTATACAGCTTAAAGTGACATTTAAAGGCTTAACTAGGTTAATTAGGTTACCTAGGCAGGTTAGGTTAATTAGGCAAGTTATTGTATAACAATGTTTTGTTTTGTAGACCATCCAAAACAAATATAGCTAAAAGGGGCTAATAATTTTGCATCTAAAATGGTGTTTTAAAAAAAATAAAAGCTGCTTTTATTCTAGCCGAAATAAAACAAATAAGACTTTCTCCTAAAGAAAAAATATTATCAGACATACTGTGAAAATTACCTTGCTCTGTTAAACATCATTTGGAAAATATTTAAAAATAAAAAAGGGGGGCTAATAATTCTGACTTCAATATTTTGTGCAATTGAGTACACCACTCATAAATCTTTCATTTAAATTATTATTTTGTGCGTATACAATAGATCAGTCAGTACTGAAGCCAAATCTGGAGCTAGTCTAACAAAATAACGTATGAGAACAGTCCAAAATAAATAGGGCAAAGAATTAATCAAATTTTCTTGACATTTTTGTAGGTTGTAATTTCTTTTTCCAATATTTGGCAAGCATTTAAATGTGTTATCTTTCTGTTTCTAAAGATGTTCGGTGACTAAAACATTATTTTAATAAATATATCTGTTTAATAAATCAGTTTTGTTTGAATGCACCAAAATATATGACCTATATTCACTGAGAAATGGATCAAAATATTCATTTTCAACTCATTCGTGTTGACTAAAACATTATTTTAATAAATATATCTGTTTAATAGATCTGTTTTGTTTGAATGCACCAAAATATATGACCTATATTCACTGAGAAATGGATCGAAACATTAATTTTCAACTCATTTATGTTGACTAAAACATTATTTTAATAAATATATCTGTTTAATAGATCTGTTTTGTTTAAATGAACCAACATATATAACCTATATTCACTTAGAAATGTATCAAAATAATCATTTTCAACTCAATTGTGTTGACTAAAACATTATTTTATTAAATGTATCTGTTTAATAAATCTGTTTGTTTAATTGCACCAAAATGTATGACCTATATTCACTGATCAAAATATTAATTTTTAACTCATTTATGTTGAGCACTGTATAATGCAGAACAACAAACCATCGCATTGCTAGATTTTTTCCAATATCGTGCAGCCCTACTCTCAATAAACTACATGAGGCTGAAATCATATCTAATTTTACAAGCATGCATGAACAGATAAGGAAACACCGCGGTGCGATGACCCTCCTTACCTCAAACAGGTTGGATGCTTCATTGCCATACTGACTGGAAATGATTTCTGATTGGTCGCTGTACCACTTGAGTCCTCCCAGAAAGCTATCCGCGTCGAGGTCGCTGACATCCAGCTCAGAAAGGTCAAGCTCAGGCAGGTCAGGGCAAAGGGGCTGGTCTTCACCAACCAAGGCAGCGCACTGGAAGAGAGAGATGAGATTGCTGAGCACATATTTGCTGACACAATAAACGTCTTCGTTTGGTGTTTGCACTCAATTGTCTAATAAGTTACATATTTAACGGTCTGATTGTAATGTCGAATTTCACAGGGACATTTTTGATGGCTATGAATTATTTCTTGTACATTGATTTAAAACAGCTAAAATGTCAATAAAAGTCACTTTGTTATGGTGTAGAGTTGAATTTTCAACATTAAAAGTTGACAGAGCAGATAAAAGCAAATGAAAAACACTTAAGTTACATATTTAATGGTCTGATTGTGATGTCGTTGAATCTGTAAGGGACATTTTTGATAGACATATATTATTTCTTAATATTTCAAACTACTAAAATGCCAATAAAAGTCACTTTGTTATGGTGTAGAGTTGAATTTTCAACATTAAAAGTTGACAGAGCAGAGAAAATAAATAAAAAACACTTAAGTTACATATTTATCGATCTAATTGTGATGCTGTCGAATGTAACAGGGACATTTTTAATAGCTATACATTATTTCTTGTACATTATATTATTTCAAACTATTAAAATGGCAATAAAACTCACTTTGTTAAAGTGTAGAGTTGAATTTTTAACATCAAAAGTCGACAGAGCAGAGAAAATAAATGGAAAACTTGTAATAGGTTATATAATTAATGGTCTGATTGTGATGCTGTTGGATCTGGCAGGGACATTTTTGATAGCTATAAATTATTTCTTACAAATTAATGTATTTCAAACTACTAAAATGTCAATAAAATATACTTTGTTATGGTGTAGAGTTGAATTTTCAACATTAAAAGTTGACAGAGCAGAGAAAAGTAAATGAAAAACACTTAAGTTACATATTTAATGGTCTGATTGTGATGTTGTTGAATCTGTAAGGGACATTTTTGATAGATATATATTATTTCTTAATATTTCAAACAACTAAAATGCCAATAAAAGTCACTTTGTTAAAGTGTAGAGTTGAATTTTCAACATCAAAAGTCGACAGAGCAGAGAAAATAAATGAAAAACACTTAAGTTACATATTTATCGATCTAATTGTGATGCTATCGAATCTCACAGGGACATTTTTAATAGCTATACATTATTTCTTACACATTATATTATTTCAAAATAATAAAATGGCAATAAAAGTCACTTTGTTAAAGTGTAGAGTTGAATTTCTAACATGAAAAGTCGACAGAGCAGAGAAAATAAATGGAAAACATTTAATAGGTTACATATTTAATGGTCTGATAGTGATGCTGTTAAATCTGGCAGGGACATTTTTGATAGCTATAAATTATTTCTTACACATTAATGTATTTCAAACTACTAAAATGTCAATAAAAGATACTTTGTTAAAGTGTAGAGTTGAATTTTCAACATCAAAAGTCGACAGAGCAGATAAAATAAATGAAAAACATTTGGTTACACATTTAATGGTCTGATAGTGATGCTGTTAAATCTGTCAGATTCATTTTAGATAGCTATAAATTATTTCTTACATCATATTTTTTTTTTCAAACTACTAAAATGTCAATAAAATATACTTTGTTAAAGTGTAGAGTTGAATTTTCAACATCAAACGTCGACAGAGCAGAGAAAATAAATGGAAAACGTGTAATAGGTTACATATTTAATGGTCTGATTGTGATGCTGTTGGATCTGGCAGGGACATTTTTGACAGCTATAAATAATTTCTTGCACATTAATTTATTTCAGACTACTAAAATGTCAATAAAAGTCCCTTTGTTAAAGTGTAGAGTTGAATTTCTAACATCAAAAGTCGACAGAGCGGAGAAAATAAATGGAAAACACTTAATAAGTTACATATTTAGCGGTCTGATAGTGATGCTGTCAAATCTGGCAGGGACATTTTTGATAGTAGAACTATTCGGTTTTGCTTTAATAGAGGGTTTCTTTTGTTAGAGTGTAACAATTAAATTAAACAATGAGTAATTTTAATTAACTACACTGTAACAAAATAGCTGTAAATTAGCATGACTCATGTTTTTATTCCGTGTATGATGTTTATTTATGCTTTTAAGTTGCATTATGAGACCCTGATCTTGCTTCCAATAACTTTTAACCACGACAAGTTTGAAAAAAATTGATTTTTATGAACCTTTTTAATAGTTTAAACTGTTATATTGTCTGGGTTGGTGTCGTATAGTACAGTACAAAACCCTTGTAATAAACCACCAGTACATGTTCGGCTATTTTACAGAGTCATTTCTCTGTATATTATTTATTATACAGCACATTATGTATTTTCAAACAACTAAAACGTCAATAAAAGTCACTTTGTTAAACTGTAGAGTTGAATTTCAACATCAAACGAGATCAACATCCCATAATGCACTTCACAACCGTAAAGAAATGGAAATCACTTGTTTCTTTTTTCTTATTTTTATTTTTTTATTTACAGTGTACTTGTACTTACAGGGCAGGGGTCACCAATCTCTTTCCTGGAGGTCCGGTGCCCTGCAGGGTTTAGCTCCAACTTGCCTAAACACACCTGCCTGGGTGTTTCAAGTATACCTAGTTAGACCTTGATCAGGTGTGTTTGATTAGGGTTGGAGCTAAAATCTGCAGGACACCGGCCCTCCAGGAACAAGTTTGGTGATCCCTGCTATAGGGTAAGGATTAAGTTTACGTTCAGGGTTAGTTGCATGCAGTTATGCATAATTAATTTTGATTACTATAGTAAGTACAAGGAACACAGGTAAAAGACCAACAAATAAAGTGTTACCAAACACTCAAACACTGTAAAATTTGAGTCACACTTTATTTTATTGTACTATTAAAACATTAACCAACCATTAACTAAGACTTTTAGCTCAATAAACTACTAATCAGCTGCCTATTAATAGCTTGTAAGCTAGTAGTTTGGTTTTGGAATTATAGGATTCGGGATTTAAAATAAGGTCATAGTTTATAAGTGCTAATAAACAGTTCATATCTTAATAATAGGCAGACAATAAGCCAGCAGTAAATGTGAATTGTTACCTAAACTGTATACTTAAAAAATGATGCTTGTTCAAACTACTATTAGTATTTAAAATGAGCTGAAACAACACAATTCTTGAATGTTTAATGCAGCAACCTAATTGTTTTATGTTCAATCAACTTAAATTCGTAAATACTAATAAGCTAACTTAACTCATTCATGTTTTCCCATCACAAATCGATTGTGTGGAACCCAGCAGTGTAAAGGGTTACCAGAAGTTGCCTTGTTTTACTGTTTGCTTGCATTTACTGTTTATTTGTCTGACTTTGTGATCCCAAACACATTATCAGACCGCAAACGGTGGGATCAACAGATATTAAATCATTTTCAGCTCTGGTCGGGCTGCACAACACCTCGTATACAGATGCCTGTCTCCATATAAACATGTTCCTGGAATAAGCTTGCAGACTTATTCCTTTCACATTGTTTTTATTGATTGGTTTTTTCTAGTTTGTTTATTTATTGATTTGCATTTACTTTAAAACCTGATCCCATTCATTTCTGTCTTTCTTTTTGAATCCAAAAAACTTGCCAGTCATCCTTTGTCAGGTTTTAACATGTGATGCACACAAAAAGATGTATTGATTCTTGAGAATAAAGAAATGTTTCCTATGTTCTCTTACCAATCTGAAATGTTTTGGCAACGTGACAACTGAGGGTGTTTGATATTCAAGACAGGACGATGTTTTCATTTTGATATTCCCTGATAGAACAATGTTTAAATGGATCTCCCTTGATTAACTAACTAATGAATGAATGAACGAACAAACAAACAAATAAATAAATACATAAGTGCATTTCCAGCGTTATGGATGTGACATTTGCAGTAAAAAATCCAAAGACAGTATTTGTTAACATTATATTTAAATATCTGTTTATATTTTCCAAATCAACTAACCTCAGAGTTAAGAGATCAGAAAAATATCAATCTGTAAACATGTTTTGTACTTTAAATGAGTAAAAATAAACACGCGTTATGGATGTGACCAAAAAAAGTATGCGAGTTTACAATATACAACATACTTTGTAGAAATTCTGTGAATTAAACTCTACAACTTAAAATAAACAATGCTAATCAAAAAGATAAGAGTTGTCTCTCTGTAGAACAAACATGATTGGCTTTATTTTATTTAATATTTGTGCATTTATGAGGAAAAAGCTCTGTTATGCATGTGACATCTCTCCGTTATGGATGTGACAGATGTGAAATTGCCACTTGTGTGACTTTGATAAATCAAGTAGTTTGAAAATACTGACAGAAAGATTTTTTTTGTATTTTTTAAAGTGCTGTAAAATACTTTCGTACACAAAAAACTTAAACGGCTTTCGTATTTTGGTGAAAGCGTAATTTGTTTCATGGCAAGGTTGACATTTGCATGGAATTGCTCATAAGTAGGCCCACACCAACACAATCTCACGGCAATTCGTAACTTTTTGATTTAGCGGCTAGTTCGTACAAATTCGTATGATCTAATTTGTACATTTCAGTACGATTTGCTCATCCCCCAATGACGGTTGGGTTTAGGGGTGGAGTTAGGTGCCACGCCTCCTTTTTAAAATCGTACAATTTCGTAGAACTGAACTCGTAAGATATCGTATGAATTAGCCACTAAACTGGCAAAACGTCAAATACTTACGTTTTCTCGTGAGATCAGGCTGCCCACACGGAATCTGCATGTGCAGAATTCCGCAGGTGTTCGCAGATTTTTAGCCCATCATTAATTATGTTTATTTAATTGAGTAAATTTCTGTAAATCTAAATTTATTCAGTTTTTTAATATATTATATTTTTTATATATATTTATATATATTAATCATAGTAATATTATTGACTAATATGAAAATGTTTATCTGATTTATGTACAATGCAGTTTCTAAAGTCATATTTTCTGTCTTTTAGTATATATGTTACAGTATATGAGAGACTTGCTTTGTTTACCAAATAAAGTGAATCTAGTTGGATTTGCATTTTAAACATTAAATAAAAGTTTAAAAAAAAAAAAAAAATTTCACATATTAAGGTTTTAGTTACGATACTTCCAAAATAAATCCGCAGATTTTTACCAAAATTCTCTGCAGAAATAGCAAGAAACGTCCGCAGATTCCGTCTGGTGCTACTCATAAGTATATAAAAACTATGTGAAAATCGATAAAATAAGCCAATTTACAGTAGTTGTCTGTCACTAAATACCCTTTACCAGTCGTTTTAAGCAAAACTTTGAAAAACTGCATGACATACTGCATCATAATATCTCAAAACTCTGCAACTGTCTGACAAATGCAAGCAATAACTCTTCCTTTATATCAGAGATGCCCAAAGTAGGACCTGTGGGCCAAAGTTGGCCCATTGTAACCTTTGCTTTGGCCCACCATCCCATCTGAGAGGAGAATGAGTATGATGAAGAGGGTTGGGGTGAATAACTTTAACATAGAGATCCTCATTTCTAATTTGACGTAAGCTTTTTTGTTTGTCGTATTGCTGAGCTACAAAAAAGTGAACTAAATGTTTCAATTAAATGTTGTAAATGAATCAGATTTTTAAAAATGTAAATACTGTCCCTCGACGGAGAGTAGACATTGACTATTCAGAACACATCGGCAAGCAAATCAATGCAAAAACAAGTGTAATTTTGTTATAAACTAGATTATTATTTTTTTAATGTGTTAAGTTTATTATGAAATGTACAAAATACTGTATTAGTTAATATAAAGCAATGTTTTTTAGTCATTTTTAAACATTATTAAATAAATTAGGAAATTACCCCTAAATTACCCCACCTAAATCTGCCTTCAGCCCACTAGCCTCAATCAAGTTTGGTGTGTGGCCCTTCATACACTCTCAGAAATTAAGGTACATGAGCTGTCACTGGGGTGGTACCTTCTGAAAAGGTGCACATTTGTACTTGAATGGTTCATATAGGTAGCTCAAAAGTATTTTTTATTCCCTTAAAATTTTAAGAGGAACACGTTTGTACTTTTTAGATACTAATATGTACCCTTGAGGTAATAATATGTACAAATCTGTACCTTTTTAAAAGGTACCACCCCAGTGACAGCTCGTGTACCTTTATTCCTGAGTGTAAGAGAAAGTTTGGGCACCCCTGCTTCATATGATTCATGGAGAGTGTAACTTACCAACATAATTCAGACCTGTTTGACTACTATTCAAAAGCTACTCCATTCACTGCCGCTTACAAACGTGCACATGAGGTAAACATGTATATCTAACCTACAAGCGTATTCAAATGTGGACACAGTGTTTTCCACAACAACACAACCAACCAGAAAACAAACAATGCTGTGATTGGTTGCGGGAGGGGAGGGGCGGGCCGTCGTGGGGAAGAGCGCAACAGCCACGCCCTCTGATTGGTCAGAATACTGTACTTCATTGCAATGAGTATGTTGTGAGTAAAACAGAAGCGAAGTGGAAGCTGAAGCAGCAGCAGCAGCCGTGAGCGCGGATAAACTGACCGACAGCGCGCGCGCGCACACAGGTGTATAGAGTTTTAACAGAGGGTGCTGTAGAGTGATGCTTTTCCATCAACAGCGCAATGTTTAATATTATTTATTTTGTGCAATTGTGTCCCACGCCGACTAACTAACTGCTCATTTTAAACCCCGTTTCCTGTCAACATCACTGCTCTTTTCTCAGTAATGCGAATGCCGCAAATAAAGAGCGATGCTCCGCTCGTAGACATCAGGATGATGCAGTTTGGATTACAGATATCACGCACGATACACTTTGATCATCGGCATTTTATTTAGTTTAGATCTATTTACGACACCCTGTCCTTCTGCTGTCACAGATTTATAGCAAAACGCTCACATGCAGTGACAGACTAATGATAATATCTGATCAAATGACATGCATCTTCTGCAGCCCTCTCCTGTTTTATTTTATTTTTTCCACTCAAAAATACGGACACGCTTATCACGAGCTCATGCAGAGAGAGAGAGAGAGAGAGAGAGAGAGAGAGAGAGAGAGAGAGAGAGAGAGAGAGAGAGAGAATAGCTACTTGTAGGCACCTGGAACTGATATGATTAGAATTGGAACCGAGAAGCAATTTGCTGATTGTGTTTAGATGGATTTATGCTCCGAATGAGACACTCAACTAACCTCTTAAAATGTACATAACAATAGCGCACGTGCGTACGGCGCAGCCTAGACAGCATATATACAGCGAGACATTTGTGTCTATATGGTGCGTAAAAGTTTCATCCAAGAAATGCTTTTAAAATACGACTGCGATAGATAGATAGATAGATAGATAGATAGATAGATAGATAGATAGATAGATAGATAGATAGATAGATAGATAGATAGATAGATAGATAGATAGATAGATAGATAGATCTGCACTGATAATGCATAATTAACGATAAAGTGCACATCTTGCATTTCGCCGAACCAAAAAGCGTCCAGAATTGCGCGTTTCCGCGATTCGTGTACACTTAAAAAGCGACAAACGTCATGCACAGCTATGCAATCCCTATTGAGGCATTGCACTGGAGCAACGCGATGATGTCTTGCTAAATAAAAAGTAAAACATGTTCAGCATCGAAATCCCAATGCACAGCCGATATTCTTCAACATTAAATCCAGCACGCGCTCGGAATGCATGCACGCGAAACAGCCTTCCGTTCGAGACCGTGTCTGCTTTTCTGATGGGAAAGTTTCGATGTACAATACCTGACGCACCGAGCACATATATTAGTAATTCCAGCACATCTGAGGCAGATATACCTGTCTCATCATCACCTGCGTTACCAGCGAGCGAGAAAACGAGCGCGCGCTCTCCATCCACGGGCATGTCAACACAATTTCCCACGACAAGACATCCTAAGTAGGCTGTCACTGTTCAACTCCGAGAAAAAAAAAGCCTCTCGCTATTTCGCCAGATAAATCACAGCACACACAACACATTAGACCTTCTCACAACCCGGCGTATTCCCGTGCGTTTCCCCCGTGCGTCAACCGGAGCTACAGCAGCAGTCTTGGAGGGTTTTTCTCAGCGCTCCGTCTCCTCAAGAAAGAAAAAATTGTGCTCCAGCCCTGGAAGAATAAGTTGCACATCAGTTCTCACCTCTAGTTCTCTCCACACCGAATCCTGATTACACCTGTCCCACGCCATCCAGCCCCTGAATGACGGCACGGAAAAATAAAAAAGAAATCACGGGCAAAAGAGAAAATCCACTCGTTCCCTCGCGCCCCTCACTGACAATGAACCGAGGGCACCTGTCTTACAACTGCTTTCCATCACATGACAAAGCTATTAAAAGTAGGCAGGGGAGTGACTCCCCTTCGCCGTTACTCGCCAATGACGCGCCGTGCGGTAGGCGGAGTCTGGCACGCGCATAGTAAATCTTGCCCAACTATAAAACCTCTCGCTCTTCTCAACATGCCTCTAGTAGCACCAACGGATTGGGACCAAAATCACGACGAGTTTCTTCACGTTTGGTTTCACTGTCGTCTTCCAAATGTCAATTATACGTCCGTGCGTAAAACTGATCACTATTGACTATTCAGCGGCACCGCGGATCTGAAACGCGCAGAGCTCGGAATAGAGTTCGAATCGCGAGTCTTAAGTAGAGTCGGTTCCTTTTGGTGAATCAAACAAACAGGCACAGGGCGTCCAGCACAGTTCGGATGACACGGGGTATTTATAGCAGGGGGGGTTTAAATCTTGTTGATGGCACAGCCCCCGAAACACGATCATGCTCATGTGAGAGACACTCATCCTAGAATTTAAAAGGCATTTATGTAATGCATTGTACATAAGAGTGTATGCATGACTAAATATGTTAATTACTGACTTTTTCCACTCATCAAATAATTTATCCAGTTATGTTAGTGCATTAAAAATAACGCATTTAATTAAAATTAAATAAATAATATTTGAATTTACACAAAATATCAGTATTTGGATATGTATATCTAATTTTTATTAATGTAAAATTTGCAATTTAATGACTTCATATGATAATAATAACATCAACAGGAACATAAAATACTTCAATATTTAGCTAAATCACTTGTTTTGTTAGCATATCGTTCTTTATTTATATTGCTGTGGAGAAAATCCTAACAAAAACTATCATGTGTCCATACAGTCGGGCTAATTTACGACTCTGACAGGACTTTTTACCCATCAGTGCATCCATCAGATATGCTATTATTATTTTTTGTCTCGCGAACAGCTTTCTCATTCGCCATATCAAATGTAATTATATTGGTGCGCTTAAGAAAAGCTTTTAATCCTAATTACTTTCGTTCACCGAAGTAAACAGTTGCTCCAGGCCTCTTTATTAAACATCTGCAGCGGTATCGTTCATCTGCGAGCAATGCGAACGGGGAGGGGGGAAAAATAATGTAAATAAAGACAGGATAAATGACTTGGTTATATGAGAACACGGTCGATAAGTTGTGAAGAGTGTAGTGGTACACAGAATACTTTGAATCTGTAGCCTGAGGCATTTTACTCACAGTCAAGAGTGTGTGAGGGGGTTGCTCCTGTATATGCGTTCAAATGGCTACTATGTTTCATGGTATATATACTTTCGAGCACATCTGATGCACGTTTAGCACCCACGTCCGCAATTTCTCTCGATATGCAAGCTAATGCTTGCTTCAATACATCGCAAACTACACGTAGTATCATCGGCTAGACTCTACCTTAAGGCGTATCGGCGCTCACGACGGATATTCACCAGGAAAAATGTCCAGGAAGAAGCAGGTGATGCGGTGTACAGTATCAACAGTCCGTGTGTACGCAACACAGATAGAGAAAACCAAAACACGCGCATTGTGGACAGTCAAAACAAAACGCAGCTCGACCACTGATGACCGCCCAATTCTGAGAGCCCACTATTAATCAGACTTTTATGAGTAAAACACAGAGGATTAGTTTCTGTTTTGTGATGGTGAGGTATGAACAAATAGAGGTTTGCAAAGTGTCCCCGATGCCATGTGGTAACATATATTTTCTGTCCAAAATATGTTTAAATATGTGTTTAATATATGTTAAATTATGTTAAATTTTTCATCTGTATATGCGTTGTTCAATATGTGCTGTTCTGTATATGTGTTATACAAATACAATTTAACCATACAGTAGAATGGGTATCAAAGTGTTCATTTATATATAAAAAAGTAAAAAAAATAAAAAATAAAATAATATATATACATACAATATATATATATATATATATATATATATATATATATATATATATATATATATATATATATATATATATATAAATATAAAT